CTGAGCTTTAAAGAATGTTCGGTTTCCATTTCCAAAGACAAGATATATTAAAATTTATTTTATTTTTTCAAAGCTCATGCAATTCACAACCAAATTTCAGGGTAATCACGCAATGTTTTCCAGACATTTCATTATTTTCGTTTTAGAAACTTCGTCGAGTTCCTCCTAGATAAAGCTTCACGCTGAATTTTAAGTTAGAGAATGTATAGCAATTTATACATTAATTATTATTAATACCACATTCTGAAATTATTCATCTCTACATTAATATACTTAAAGGCTGTAATACAACAGAATATGAGATATTAATTAGATCTGAGAACCACAAAATATTCAAATGGAGCATAAATAAATTCTCTATCATGGCGGCTACTAATAGCGTCAAAGAAATAGTAAGTCTAAACATAAAGTTGACAAGTTCGGTATAAAATGGAGGTGAATGGACTGAAGGATAGTCCGTTAAATTGCAGGTCCCTATAATATGATGAAACACTAGCAAGAACGGATTTGCCTCCTTTCGCTAGGGGAAGAAATCCTCTTGGGGAGGTCTTTCTAAAAGAATATGGCTCGTACTCAAGTTACACATGAATTAAACAACCATTCAGCTAGCTCTTCATCTGGAATCGAACATGGGAGGTAAAACAGTTTAGCGGTCTTTAATCGCTCGGGCAGTGGAGTTACTACTTCGTTCAGAAAGCAGAAAATGATATATCCTCAGGAAGGGCTGTCATTTAGTTCACTTTTGAGGCCGAGGCATTGGTAGCAGTAAAAGCTACCAAAGGACGGGGAATCTTGAACCAAATGCTTTCCCCCTTTAAGAAATCACCTCCTATTGCAACAAAGATTCTTGTGTGTAGTTTAATGGATTCTCAGAGGGGTGCATCTATGTCACAAAAGGAAGACCTTTGAAAGAGATAAGTGGTTAAAACATCAGGGGCATCAAATTTGACATTTCACTCCACTTTTCAACCTGGAAAATGGGGGGAAAAAGACATGGCCACTAAAGTGGACAACCCCGTCTTTTCAAAGAGAGGAAGAGAGGACTCTATGGCCACTATAATGGCCATCCCGTCTTCAAAAGGTTAAAGACTGTATAACTTATGAAAAATTTCACGGATTATCACAGCATGATTAAAGGATTATATTTGAAAAGCATTTGAGACTTATATTATTTAAATGAGATAATTGTATAAAATAACTTAGGAAATTGACTTAGGAAATTATGTGTAAACAAACAACATAGAAGCTCATTTTTTTTAACTCATTTCTTATTTTTCAGTTAAATAAACAGTATCTCCAAAGATATTTTTTAATTTATCACAATAAAAATGCTTTAAACACAAATAATCCTCAAAAAATCAATTAAAATACATAGAACATTTAAATATAAGTAATTCTCAACAAAATAAATTCCCTCAACAATTATAATTTTGAATAAAATTCTATGCTTAAAAATGTTTGAAAGCTTCATCTTTTTTTATGAGGATTTTATAAGCTCAAGTCATTTCAATTTCAGGACGAGCTTAAAAAAGTCATCTGACAAGAACTAATTTATGAAAATTTAAGCTAGTTTAGAAACTGTATAAAAAAAGGGAACTCTTATAAAAAGCTCTTAATCTTTCAACGAAAAAAATTAGAGAACGTGACATTTTTAAACGAAAACTTCTAGAATTCTGAGCTGGGAAAGTGTCAAAAAAATCAAACACGCTTAGGATGAAGATAATTCGCGAGCCTCATGCGACAAGTTTTGAATAAATTAGTATGCTCGGAGTATTCTGATAATCGCATTTTAACCAATGCTTTTAACATGATATATCTGTAGGAATACCTATTCTGTTAATACTTGCAAGATAAAAAAAGTTCAATATATTTATTAACATGTTTCTGAATTTTGGCAAAAGTGACTTTTCTTCAAATTTTGCATTCTTCCAACGGTTTATTTTTATCGCTGGGAAGAATTTTAAAACGTAATGGCAAGAGTGTACTAATAATACTATTTCGGGGAATAAAACTTCAGAAATGTCTGTTGTGTTTAATTTTATTTCTGATCATGGTTTTTATTTCATTGTAACGAAGCAAAGGAAATATTGTAATTGGGAAAATTTTCGAGTGTCATATTTCATCGCAAATATAAATTTTGAATGTTCCCGAATTAATTTGAACGATTTTTTTCTTTACTTCTGTAATTACAGACAGAGTAAAGGACTATTTCTTTTTCAGAATTGATTGTAAAATGGATTTGATTTGGATTCAAAAGCGAATTTCTGTGTGATGTCTGTATGCACATATGTATTCTGACCAACGTACAAGTACTTTGTTTTGAATTTTGTACTTAGATCTATAATTAAGTAAAACTGTTGTATTTCTTTTGTAACATGCAAAATGTAAAGAGAACCTACTCTGAAAGTGTAAGAATAGAGGGGCAAGTGCATTTAAAATTGAGTAAATGGGTATCTCAGTAATTTAACGATATATTGCTAAGTTGAAAAAGGCTTTGGCAACTGTGTTTGTCGCCAAAAGCCGCCAAATTTAGAAACATTTTGGTCGGTCCCTGTATCACCGCAATATGTACTGGAACTGTATAAATGTAATTGACCACTGTGTTAGCTGTAACCGTAATTCCACCCTTCTTTTTCTCTCCAGTAATTTCGAGAAGTAGAAAGTACTGAAAAAATCTCGACGACCTGTTGAAAGCTATTTAAGGGTGAAGAGAAAGCATCTGCTGTCATTGCTTAGTTATCGTTATTGCGAGTTATTAGTTCCGCGTGAACTGAGATATTAGAGTTACCTTTCTCTTTAGATGCGCCTTGCATTGCCTTTTGTTTAAGGGGTTTCCCTATAACCGACAATGTTAAATTGACCATTTTCGATGTACCTTTTCTTAAAATCCCCTGCATATACACGCTTGAAAGTTTTTGTGTAATTAAAATATACCTCTCTGATTATACTAAAATGAGCTTTTGAAATATTTTGAATTTTAGAGAAATTTACAGAACATTTTGTTAGACATAGTAAAATTTAGCACTTTTCTCACAGAAAATATTTTGTAAATTTTGTTTTCTTAGTTTATCACAAAACGCTCATTCCAGTAAATTTTAGGAAACCTAATAAATAAGCCATAAGAATTTTAAATACCTGTGAGCAGTAGTCCTGAGAAAGGTACATCAAGTATAAAAAAATCACGTTTGGAGAAAAATGTGTTTTTATGTAGAAAATCCTCATTTATCAAAGCATTCGATGACAAATTAAAACTAGATTTTTTACAGTCCTAGTTTTCATACAGAATAAAGAATGGTATTTAAAAAAATAAAAGTGTAGTGAATTTGAAAATGCAAAACTCTGAAATCACCAGTTTTTGGAGATTTGTGGGTTCCAACACCCCTTAACGTTCTTAGTAGTTTGATGCGTAACTACTGATTGATACTGTGAAGTCCTATACTTGTATTTCTGAGGAAAATTACAGAACTTTTAAGTGTTTATTTTTGATAAAATAAATTTTTATTATTCTATCATCGGACCTGTGTGCATTAAATCTATTATAAACCCGTACGCACGCAACAATATATTCAAGCTGATCTGTAATTTAGTCTTTTCATTTTTCACGTCGTGCTGCACTTTACATTAATGTTCGGGTTGCATAAGGCTGTTGGGGTGACATTTGAGTTTCAATCAAAGCTTGAGCTTTATGTTGTTTAACTAATTGAACAATAAAAAAACTGTAAGTATTCTTAATAATTTATATCTTCACTTGATCTTTTAATAGCATCTCTCCCTAACAAAACTTAAAATATACCTTATTTATATGATATTTAATGCTCCTAATTGATAATTGTTACACATCTGCGCCATTATTTTAAGTACTAAAAAGTATTTCTTATAAAATAATGTGCATTTCATGTCTTTTTTGGGGTCATGTTGAGATCCATCACTTTTAAACTAAGATATCACTGTATTTATCACATTTAAAGAAATGCTATTATTCCCGTTACTGATCTTTATCATCCAAGTTAACTGAAACACCTACCTCTTCATTGCGTTGCTGCTATTCGAAGGGGCATAGGATCTACATATTTAAAATTAGAACAGAACACTGCTCAGCAAATGCGTTGTACGTAGTTCTTAATAATTTATATCCGCATTTTTAACAATTTATCTAATTAGTAAAAATTGTGATTTGTGTGTGATATATAGTACATTTTTAATTTTTAACTATTATAAACATTCGTCCAATTATTGTAATAATTAACTACGGATATATCTAGTGCGAAATATTATGCGCTATTAATCATATGTTTGCGATCTAATAATGAATTTATGGGATTTGTTTCGCGTATATACGGGAGTGAAAACTGCATGATTCGAAAATGTTTCCTTCAGTATAAAAAGTTTATAACAATTTTAAATTGTATCTAAAACAGATCAATATCATTTCAATAATTAATTATGCCAAAGTGCTCCACGGCTATCAGATTAAAAAGAAAGTTATTAGTGTATAAAGTTTTCTGAGAAAAACTGTTTATTATTACATTGCACACTGAAGGAAATAACACGAGAACGCCTTGCAGCTAGCTTTCTCTTACCCATCGTAGAACATGAGAAAAATTACAAAATTTTGCAGTAAGAATGTTGCAGAAGAAAGAAGCGAGTAACAATTTTGCACTTATTCTATTTATACCAACGCGAGCAAAAATAAAATAAGCAGCAAACGGGAAATAACCAATTGCGAAATCCTCCATGTGAGTATGAAACAATGTGCATATATTAAAAAGCAAAAATACAAAGAAAATACTCAACGGAATATAAGAGATATTAATTTTTTATTGTAGCAGATTGTAATTGTTTACCAGTAAATTACTTATTGCTTAATTGTTGTTGGTGATGATTTTTAAAATTTATTTCTTAAAAATTTTTTCTGCATTTATACAGTTTAAGATATTATTTTAATGTGCGAGAATCTTCAATTTCTATTGGTGTAATTTATGTCTTTTTTCTGCTTTCAGAATCCGTCCATAATGAAGAGAGGAAAGATAAAGCGAGATTCATAGCAACGAGTTACCTGACTATACGACCGCTCGTCTCGAACGATGGGTCCAAGTTCGCTTGCGAAGCATTTCACAAAGCACTTGACCACAGGATGAGGACGGAGGTCACGCTAAGTGTCTTACGTAAGCAATTTTGCGCATCAAATTATACTTCCGAATACATTAACTGGAAATCGCTTATCCTGACTCAAAGCATCTGCATAAATTATAAATATTCGCAGGAAATTGCAGCTGCTTTGAGTTACTACAATGTAGATTTTATATCGGTTTGTGAGAAGCTTAAATTAAGGCGTTTGGAAGATATCAATATTCATTATATATACAATATTCATCAATATTTATCAATAAACTTAAGCATATCAGAGAATACTGTAACTGACAAAATAATTAATTTGTTAGAAATGATTAATATGTTTGAATGCTTACAGATTGAGCCTAAAATGGTCATCAGCCGGACATTTGAACAATGTAAGATATGCAATACACCTGCAAAATGCTTATATCAAAACATTGAACGAGTACGTGATGCCGTGAATAATAGCAGTCGCTATATACAACAATAATTCTTGCAACATATATAGTGGCTGCTTAATTCAATTGATAAATTATGCAAATTAGGCTTTACGAGCGTTAAATAATGTAATAATAAAAATAGTACGCACACTAAAACGCATTAAGTACTGAACTAGTAAATAAAGCAATGTAAAATATATAGTATATTAGAGCGTACCCTCTCAAGTATCTTTAAAAGTTATAAGGTATTTTCTCCTCCCTTTCTGCATATTTTTGCTATGTAACCGTAGCACACTCGGCGCGTATTCGAGAGGTTCGAGTCTCGGCGAGGAAATACTCATGTTACACGTCTCTTACTTCAAAAAAACCGAATGACTCTACAGTGGCACCCGAACTAAAAGGTGGTGGATGATGACTCTTCACCACCAGGATTTGGCGATTGGGCTCCTAATCTCCTGTCGCTCTATAAAAGGTGGAGTATATAAGTTATTTACTTCCTCGTTTTTGCATGCCTTCGTGGTCTAACGCCAGCACACTTGGCGCGTATTCGAGAGGTCCAGGTTCGAATCCCGGTCTAGGGAACTGCTCATTTTTTAAGTCTTTAGCATCAAAATAAACTAATGACTCTGCAAAATTAAGGATTTGGCTGTTTCAACCTAATCCTCAAAAGCTAAGCGACAAATGACAAAATACAATTCTTGTACTATGCAGCATAATATGATGTTTCAATTAGCACTAATACAAGCTAATATTTTTCAAACACTTGTAGCACGTCTAATCACATGTACATTTAAAGACGGGAAAGTTTACGATAACTCTTTGTTAATGAGAACAGAGCAAATTCTAGAAGCAAAAAAGGAAGAAAGTTTAAAAAGAAGTATGGGTTTGGAAACAAAAAGAGGACAAATGTTTTGTGACGAGTAATAATAGAAAATTGCTGCCAGAATATTTATGACCATAAATTATCATGGAAGTAAAAATCAAAAAAATTTTGAACAATCTGAAAATTCGCATAATGTTTTGTAATAAGTATTTCAATTCCTCGTAGTTAGTTATTTGGGTCCGAATTTGCAAATATATATAAGATAATAGTGGGCGAGGTTGAGAATCTGTATTTCAGCTTTCTTATAAATTGTTCTCACTACGCTTGCATTTCCAATCCAACCAATACGAAACTTTATGTAATTTTCTCCTCTGCTATTCTGAATCACCAAAATGTGAAACCGCGTGTACTGAATCAGCGGGTACGGAGGTGTGACATCATACCTAATGATATGAATAATATTTAATGAAATATTATAAACAAGAGTCTGTCATATTTGTGTCCTAAATATAAAGCTTTCTACAGTATAGACAAGACTGAACAAATAGCATTTTGATACCTTAAATACTATTTACAGTGGTTTATAATGACGATATAGAATATGTCTTTTATGGGATATTTCTCTCATTATTTCAAATAAATACTGCTGCAGTAAGATGTTTTACTATACTCATGAGAACTCCTTAAGAGATACAAAAGTTATTCTAATAATAACTATTTTGAAGTTTTGCATTGACAGGGATCTTATCTATAATTTTACAATACACAAGCATATGAGTCCTTGTGTGCTTTTTTTACTGATATAATGGCTGTACTTGTAAATTATGCTTTGATTGAATACAAGACAATTGCTTATTTTTTATTTCTTCACTGCTGTTATTTTAAATTATATTAAATTTTAAATAAGTGTGTTCCCAACAAGGATTAGATATTTGAGTTATCAGCAAGTTAAGGCAGCAAGAATCAGCGCGATGCTAATAAATTTGTACTGTTAGTTTCGAAAGATTAAGTATAAATTTTCTTCAGCTACAAAAGTGCAAATGACGAAAGAGAAGCCAGTGATAAAGTAAGATAAGGCGATATGAATGAAAAAAAGAGCTACGCCACTGACGCCATCTGTTGATGAAAATGATAAAAAATGTGAAATACCTTCCTTAAAAGCTCAGGGTACAGACGGATTGGAATTAGGTTCGTGAATTAAAAGTGAAAGATTGTTATGAATGTGAAATACCTCTGGAAAGTCTAATTCACCAACAGGAAATTTTTTTGAATACTTTCGGCTGCAGAAAATTGAAAAATGTGATGCTTCCGACCAACAGTGTTGGGCAATAGCATAGTTATGTGTTTCGTTTTTCCTATGCCTCATATTCCTTTGCTCGCAGTTTTAAGTCTCTGCTAGTTTGACCAATGTAAACTAAACGACACTGACAAGTAACTTCTATTTAACTTTGGAGATTTTATCCGAAAGTCTTGGATTGCGTCCTGACAGAACAGAAAAAGATTCAAAAGCTGAATTTTTATAAAATACTTGCAGTTGTCTAGCCAATCGATGAAAAGAAAGAAATGACAACAGCTCCTAAAACGAAAGGATGTTTTTTGATGTGTTGAGATGAGAATTTATATTAATACCGTAGTCAATAATGTTCAACTTATGTCAATAGCAACTGCTTTTATGTAATTTAGTTCTTGATTTTATAGAGAAAACTTAAAGTGCTGGGAAAACAAAGAAATAAAATGAAGCTAACCTTTGTTTAGTGGAATGGCATGACCCTAAGTCTGGTGGAAGGCAAACAGATAAAAATTACGAAATGGTAGTACTGAAGGATATGTTGCACGTGACCAAGTTGCCGAGGAACGGAAGAGAATTGGATGTCTGAAATTCAAATGTGAAGCGAATAGCAGGGTAACAGAGTTTATTATTGAAAGAAATCTATTTAACTAATCTTTATTACGGGCCAAATAATGTTAAAGGTAACTCCAACGTTACGAAACCACACAGAGAAGTTTAAGGCCTCTGAATGCTCCCCACGGCTAATCCGTCAGTCTGGTTGTAATGCAAAGTTTGGGAAACAAAATGAATTTGTTCCAAACGGAGAGCAATAAGGGAAATTACCTCATCAATTTCAGAAATCAAAAGAGAAATGAAGTACTCGAAGCTTCGTTTCTAGTCATTTAAGTGCAACTTCCACGAAATCATTAATGAATATTGATTTATATAAAAATACCGTGCTGAAATTTCTTGCGGAATATTTTTTCTATAAACTGTATTGAATTTTTTATGGTTTAAGTGTTATTAACTATCTAAGTCAAAAATACAGAAAATAAACAGTTAGCTAAAGAAAGCAAGGCAGCCCCTAGATATTTGATACAACAGGGTGGAATGAAACACCACTTTTATGAATTTCGAGTACGGCATGTTAATCTGGCACAATTTTCACCGATATGGATACAATTTTTTTTAAAGTGAATTGGAAGGAGTTGTGAAAATTTAATCGTAGTGTTTATTTTTGGGAGATCCGAAGGCTAAGGGTCTTTAGAGATCAGTCTGAGGCTTCGTTTAAGAGCAACACGATCGGTTTAAGTTCATTACGATTATCTGGCCACATTTTTCGGCCCACGTTTGTCGGTTGAACTTTCTGCAGGATAGCTTCACTTCTACAGTTTAGATGAAGGTTCAAAGCTTTACTGTTAAATTCCACATTATGAGCCAGAAGGTACCTAATCATTTCTTTCTGTGTATTAGAAACTTTGAATTCAAGAATTTGAAAGCGCTTTCGATAAGTGCTAAAAACATTATAATCAAAGGTTTTGAGGTTTGTGAGAAGTTCTCAAATCAGGATTCTCTTTTGTTTTTCTGGTAAACAAACATTAGAAATATTAACTGTTGGTTTGGATCATTAAAGCCAGAAAACCTTTGGAAATACTTAAAGATCAGATATATTATGATTTGAATTTCAAGTACTTAAATTACCATTTTGTGTTATTTCGAAGTTTTATTCTTTTAAAGCAACTCGTACTCACTAAATTCGAGAGGTTCAAACTTAACTCCTAATGGGTGATAAAAGTTAAGTTTTTTTCAACTGTTAAAAAGATCGCGCCCATCCTTCGAAGAAATGAAGTACATCGTACGATCTTCGAGTGAAATGACACACTTCAGGTAGTCTTAGTTGCTCCTTGAAGGTGTGATAAACCGTCTTACCTAGGATAAAATTAGTGTAATATGTATAGGGTTTTCATGAAGTCATATAAATAAATTAGAAATCAATTGTATCCGTAATAGATGCAAAGAGAATGATATTTTCATATTCATTGAAAATAGAAATCGCATAACATTTCATACTTAAAATGTTTAATCGGCAATAAAATCGACAGCAGCTTAAGGTTGGAATTTATTGTGTTTCATAGACATAAACATATTCCATTTTCTAGCTGTTTTTAGAATTTTACTCCAGAATTCTTTTTTTTTTGGGGGGGGGTATATAGAAAAGGATTGTTAGAAGACAATTCAATAAGTGTGATACTTTCCAGAAGATAATATGCTGAGGAATTAAACGTGCAACATTGTATTAAGTGATATTTAACGCTAATTAAAAGATCTAAATACAGTAAATTCCATATTAACTATGCTAAACCGGAGACAACCTTCATAATTAACCCCAAATCACGATTAAATTGAGGGCTTTTAAATAAAATTTCCAACTTCGTGAATATATGATAAGAAAGAAGAATTACTCATAATTAAACTACCAAAAATATTTAACAACTTATCTGTATTTTCAAGTACAGT